AGAGAGAGAGAGANAGGGGGGGGGGGAGAAATGTCTCTAAAATGACACGTCAATTTATCTACCCAACTGTCGATTTCGTTGAAAATAAAAATAATATTACATGTACTACGGATTATCTCGCGTTTACGCTTCGCAATTTACTGCAGATATTGGATGCTGCCGCCAATGGCCGAGCTGTTATAATTAGCATTAAGTCCGTGAGCGACGTTCCAAGCAGGAAGTAGTAATTAAGTCTCTCATGCTAGTGTACACAGCACGGATCTTTTGCCGGATGTAAAAAATTGTCATGGTCTTTTCTGAAATTTGACGATAAGTCACTTCTACTGCAGATATTGGATGCTGCCGCCAATGGCCGAGCTGTTATAATTAGCATTAAGTCCGTGAGCGACATTCCAAGCAGGGAGCAGTAATTAAGTCTCTAATGCTAGTGTACACAGCACGGATCTTTTGCCGGATATAAAAAATTGTTATGGCTTTTCTGAAACCTGACGATAAGTCACTCTACCAAGCTATCGCTTGTACCATATGTTTGCTGCCTACAACGGAGAGGCTATAACTATTTTATTATTTTGGATATCAAACGCGTGAAGATTTTTGAAGCTTAAACATGTTACAGGCTTTGTGCTTGGTCATCGATTTTTAAGGATTTTAAACAATTTTGCACTCAGACACGCACTGTATTTGAGTAGGACGTGCTATTTAACGATCGCGCACCAAAACTCTAAATTATCCGGCTAAATGTAAGTACATGCAAAAAGATGCAACGGAGAATTCCCTGCGAATGCTTTGCATTACGTACGCGCGAGAATATTTCAATGATGTTTTTCACGTGATTCTATACAGGTATTCGGGGCAAAATTAAGGGCAGAGTATCCAGTTTGACGTTGTGACTCGACGGGGCGAATGTTATTACTGAAAGGAATGTCGCCCCCGGCAACAGGGTGGTGCTATTTTCATGGCAGGCGACGGTTGGTGCGCGCGTCACAAAAAGTCATCGTGAACATGGGGAAGACGCCCACGTCGTATTTCCGTAACGGAGAATTCTTTGTATATAAAGCCGATGATCGATAAAATCGATCGATGCTCGTCTACGTAAAGTTATTTTATAGTGAGCTATATAACTTATATATATTGTATAATATATACATAATATATAATATGTTATACATGCATAATATTAATTTATGTGTATATATATATTATATATATGTATATTTTTTTTAAAGTAAATAATTTTTTAAAGCGACTTTGGGGAAATAAGTTCGTCATGATTGTGTAAAGTCTTGTCTTCGAAATTTAAGGATGCAGGATTTGAAACATTGCATTTTGCGGCTTTTTGCTGAAAGAAAGGAATTTTTAATTATTAGACCGAACGACATTCTTGGAATACGAACCGGTGGCCGAGGTGACGAAAATCTCTTCCGTCGTTCTGGGATCGCCGGAGCCCTCCTCGCAGTCCTCCTCATCATCGCAGGATGGACGCTCTTGAATATTCTCCTTGTGCAGCTTCGGCCTCAATGTCGTCGGCAATCGTGTGGGTGCCACATACACTGGCGTGATGATGTCATCTGGGAATAGAAGCGACGCAATTGTTAAAAGAAACGTACGACGTCCTAATGTAGGAACAATCGGAATACGTAGATATACAGAATAATTGCACACATAGCAAAATCTCGTATTTTGCATCGTATCCCTACTTAAAGTCATTGCAAATGTATTTTTTATTTGATCATCCATCAAAATTTTCATGTCACAAAACATCGAATAATAATAATAAAGATGATAAATATTAGTTAAAACTTGCACCATTTAATTATAAACCATCCAAAAATAAAAAAATAGGAATGTTATCAAGTAAAGTAATATATATATTATAAAATAACAATATAATTCAAAGTATATAAGCCCTTCCGAGAAATCCGGCGTAATTGAATCGCGCGGAAATTTTGTGATATGTATCGCGTTGCAGAACGACCGGATGTAACGTTCGGCCGTCGTCCGCGGTTATCGCGTCTCATTAACGTGACGATGTTAATTTAGTTTTTAGTTAGTCGGAGAAGATTTTGGAGCGGGGCCTCAGTCCGTCGCAAGAGGTTTGCTGGCAGGAGAGAGAGGAGGAAGCTGTCAGAGGCTTTATCTCGCGCCGGCCGGCGATCCTAAATATGTAAATGAATCGAAGATACAACCGGGCGAGCATGAAGGCGAAAAGGTGGCCATGCCATGCGATACGTACGATGCGTGTTGAGTGTGTGTGTATGTGTATGTGTGCGATGCGTGAGTGTATAACGGGGAGTGTGTAACCCTTTCTCACGTGACGCAATGCGTAGGAAGTCGATATCAATGATAGCCCAAGAGGAATTTTGCGTACAGGAGCTAATCAATAAATTGGAAATTCGTTTTAATTTCAATTAACTGTTTTTAAATTTATATTTTACAGGAACAAAAGAGTAAATATTGTTAAAAAATTATCTTAAATTTTGCGAAATATAATTTATACTTTTTTTAAATTTGAACAAAAAACTAGTTTTCCGGTTAATTGAACAATTTATTCGTCGATTGAATTTTGTTTATTTAATGCGGTATATTGTACAACTTTTTATTAATCATTTAATCGTATTAATATCCTTTTGTTTCTAAGGCCGTATAACAATGTGAAAAAATTATTATTTTCTTTTATTGTCATATATTCAAAATGTTGCAAAATATTTTAGACATTAATTATTTTTAAATATTTCAAACATAAAGAAATAAAGGGGAAATTTAAACAATTTTCACATCAAAAAATATTTTATTGTGTGTGTTGTAATTAACAATGTCTACGTTTGATCATTTTTTCAATTTATCGATAAAAGTAAGTTGAAAAGATTTGATCAATTTGTTCTTAAAAAATTAAAAATAACTGAAAGATTAATTAAAGAATTATAAAATCTTTTTTATATTGAAATAAATTCCACTACACTGACATTATCAACAAACATAAAAAAAATGTGTTGGTAAGTGCCGTCAAATGACGACAGTGCCTACCATACATGTGTGTCCATCCTTGTCTAGGGGAGTGCTAAACTTCTCTCCTTTCATACAACACGATGAGAATCGATGCTCGGTCTCTTATATACGGAGTGACTAGTTCACGAGCGCTCGCGAGAAAGTTAGTTTTTTGTAAATAAATCTTAATCTAGCAATTGCATCGCAAAACCGTAAAGGAAAAATTTGTTGTAAATGTCACGCGTACCCCGTTATGTAAGTTTTATCTATGTACATGTAAGTTCAATTATTACCCGTATTTATATATAATATTAATTTTAATAAATATATTATAATATTTTATTATGACATAATTTATAATAAAAATTATATTATTTTTGTTTTTATTTTTATAATTTAATTTTTACCTCGTGTTAGATGTTCTTGAATAAATATCAATACGAAACAATCATTAAGGTTTACATATATATGAAGATACAGCGATAAACTGTCATAAGGTGAAGTAGCACAAAAGGATTTTTAAACACAATTAAATATAACGAAAAATTATTAAGAATTATTTTATAATTAAATACCGCGCATAGTAATGATACAAACATGCGGTATAATTTCGAAAGAATTTTAAAGAGGGAAAGTGTCTTCGGAAATACGAAAAAGTGATGATAATATAAATAATAATATGAGATGCGATCGAGACGAAGTTACGCAACAAGACACGCGCACGTAGAGAAGAGACTCCCTCGCGGGGAAAGTTAACGTGCAGAATAGATTACTTACGCCCTTTCGGAAATATTACTTACACTTACCGGAGCCTGACTCGTAGATCGGAGTGCACTCCTCGTCCTCGTCGTCGCCGGCGCAGCCGCTCCCGGCGCCAGAGAATATGAGGTCGTCCATGACGCCGGGGAAACCGGACGCCGGCGTCTACGAAACGGTTTAATTATTGAAATTTGAGCCATTGACCTCGAGGATTAATCGACGCGTGACGTCAAGGGACGTGTGTGTTACATACCTGTTGCATTCTTTGCAGCGGCGGGGCGCGATCCAGAAGACTTCCGGCCGGCAAAAGCTGCACGTCTCCTCTGACCACGACTTTGCCATCTTTCGCCGCCGCGAGCTCTAAAATCCTGGCGCCGTTGACGACCAGTCCGGCTATCACGCCCAGAAACGGTCGTTCCACTCTGCCCTTGCTGCGATTCCATCGGCCGCCTACTTGAATTGTGGACTGGCTGTTGAACACCGTCAGCTGATGACCTGTCGGGAAATAAACAAGTCGTGAATATTATTTTCGTCGAACTTCCTTACGCTATCGGTCGATTTTAACTGTCGACACTTTGCATATTGACATTGAAATTTTTCTGGAATATAGTGTGTAAAGAAAACCGTGCGTATCACAACTATTCAAGAGTTTAACTGTCAGAGAGATGTATTTGTCATCCCGTGTCATCTAAAATAATTTACTAATTATGTATATAACTTATTATATATATAGATCTTAGAATTTAAATAACTCTTTTATAAAGGTAAATAATGAAGTTAGAAAAAATAACGAATGATCAATAAACGAGAACGAGAACGGAATCTAACAAATTTTAATTCTTTGACGAGATGAAATGTTCTCGTTGACAGCGTCTATTCGTGACTCCCGAGCAAATTCGAACTTCTTGCTCGTTTCACGAATTGCAGTTTGATCTTATATAACGCCGATATTACTTCGTATATTTATATTATTAAAATGCATGCATTTCGCGCGCTGGAACATTCTATATATGTATGCCAGTGAGCCGTCATACTGCGCGATTCGTATCCGTGAAAATATCGGTTGCCGTACTCGCCGTGTACAAGGTACGGCCAGGCCTAGCACTGATATAGTCAGTTACGCTTGAATATAAAAATCTTTTAACTTTTATTAGTTCTGTTTTCATTTAGATATCTTATTTTTGGATTATTTTATATAGGCCGGACCCGAGGTACTGCAAGACCGGGTCGACCCATGGTGGGGACGGAGCAAGCTCCGTAGCGCCCACCGCGTTCCAAAAATCAGTTTAATATTCTGAATCCCCTATGGGGATTGTATCAGATATTAAGCTGATAAGAACAGATACTACACTTTTGATCTTAGCTCAAAGAGCCGAGAAGCGATAGTAGTACCAGCTTTGGTAGGTCCTTATATACAGTTCCAAACCAAATCTTAATTTCGAGAAAACACGCCTCGTAGCGGCGAGCCGCGCAACTACCGCGGCCGATCAATACCGGCGCTCGTCTCCCACCATCTCCAATCCCCTCCTTGCTCCAATCGAAGCACGTGGCATTCTTTAAAGTCGATTCAGACATTTCAGACGTAATCGTGTCTAAAATATCTCGTAAACGTTAATTTTTTAATAAGCGTATTCCAATATTCGCATGCATAAGATATTATGAGATGAAGCAATTGGCTCGAAGAAAACATGTAATTGCTCTTAAAATAAAGGTATGTATAATTGCGTATTGCAAGTATCATCTTAATTTTCTTGATTTTTTGCACAGCTACGATTACAGATGCTAGAATAAACGGGCGTGTGTGAACAAATATTGACGCTGACGGCGCAAATACAGCGCGATACGGTTGTATGAATATACGTGCGATCCGGTCTGAAACAACGAGAGAGTAACAGTTGACACTCACTGACAAGGCATAGTCAGTTCACCAGCGTGGCATAAAAATGCAGCTGGTACACCCGTGTAATCAGCTTCGTACACGATGAGAAGCGGGACACCGCGTGTGCGAGCAGTGACACGCACAAGTGTGCTCGAGACATGCGTCCCGAATTAACTGCTCGGACTCGTTCTCCCTTCCCTTCTTTTCTCTCTTTCTCTCTCGCTCTTTCTCTGTCGAGATAAGGATGTCATTGACGCCGCATTCCGATCTGAAGAAGTCCAATAAACTGTATCACTTTACTAGGGGAGCATGAGCGCGACGGGTGTGGTCGTGCTCCCGTCTGGCGCCGGGAGTCGAATAGAGCGCGGAGCCAAATCTTTTAGCGCGGGGAACCCGTAATCTTTCCGATCCACACCGCAAGATTAGCGAAACGACCACAGCGATATATTTTCATATTTATATTTCCTCGTGATAGCAATATCTTGAAAATTTTGAGAATAGCGAAATATATTTTTGGCATCTGTCGCTAAAAAAAATGTAAATTAAAATTGCATGTGTAAAGATTAAAGCTTTAATTTTTTTTTAAAGAACGATAAAACCTGGAATTACAAGACTAAACTTAGATTTCTCATATAATTCAAGTTTGGGAACAAAACTGTGGATTTTCAGATAATTAGCTCTTTCGCGACATAATCTAAATTGATAAGTAAACTGACAGGGAAGTATGATGTACTGGGAGGTGCTGTATATCCGAAAGTCGGTTAAGCTGTCGTGCTTAGACAAGTGGCACATTTGGCTAAAGTGAATCAGGAGTCGAGAATGCTCCATATATCCGCATATTTACATATCTCGCACATTTCTACCAAGGAGATTCGTTATTTTAATACATGCCTATCTTAAATCTTCTAAATCTGTCCATTTCTACACGATTTCAAAAGATCGTCAATATCTATTTTATTTGTAACAAACTGTGGCTTCAATCATAATTAATATTAATAATTTAGTTTCTCCTTGCCTTGTACGAGTAGCTTAACATAGTCTCTGAGTTATGATTTGCAATTTATTTATCCAATAACAAATCTAATAAGAAATCAATAAATAAATAATCAAATAATGAATCTTAAAATACTTTTTATTGATTTTTTTTACTATCGATATTATTATCAATTTAATCTAGATATTACATTTAATCCGGAGTAAGAAGTAGATCGCGCAGTCGAAGCGCTGGAGTGTTAATTCCCGCGAAAATTGGAGGGTCCGAATTCAAGACAGAGTCTCACGGACGCGCTTTGGGAACCGTCGGTTTTACGGTGAGAACATCGGGCGCTTGGGTATGGGAAACATCGATGATTCCCAGGCAGTGGTAGCGGCGTTTCGTATACGAACGTGAACAGCGAATGTAAACGCGCCGCCGCACGTGTACGTATACACATTTCATTCGTACATACATCGGCCGGCTTGTCGCTTGTCCGGCCGCGACCGGCGAGACAAATGTGCACACGTTCGGGAACTAGCTGGAGGCTCGATTCCGACCGTGGGATGTGTTTGCGTCTTCATTTCAATCGACAATGGAATCGTCAATTCCACTCCAATCGTTCGAACCCGTAATTAACTAGGCGCGCACAAGAAGCGGCAAATATTTGTAGATAAGAATCGGAAAAAAATGCAGATCACGCAGTTTGTCGCGAATCGACTATGCGGCCCGTCAGGCTGACGAAGGATCTCGCGGCATTAATCAGACAAGATCCCACTCGATCGTCTTCGACCGGTAGCACGTTATCACTGCATCACCAGAATTAATTACTATACCGAGCCATTAATCTTCACATCTTCATTCACGTGCCAGCTGACGATGATTAACGAGCCAAGAAAATGAGTTTCGTACATTCGCGCGTTATGCTAGTCTGCAGTGCTGACTCGATGTTCAGATTTTAGGATTTTCTAAGATTATTCCAATTTTATAAGTACCTATGTCCGGTAATTCTTTCGCGGAAAGACACGCGGTAGAGAGGAAGTTCGCAATAAATTGGATAAGAAAACTGATTATAAAATAATTTTATGACCAACTAGATAATAAATTTACCCAGATAATAAATTAGATAAGAAAATTATTCATAAAATTTTTCTTCGCGCTTATTAATGAACAATTTACAAGCAGACATTAAAATATGATTATTGGTTAAATTTCGTACTTATAATTTAAAATATGTCATGAAGAGAACAAATAATCGGGAGTGTCTTTTATCTATCTTTTACTACGAGTTTTTTTGTACATAGTGCTCTCACGAATCTCCAAGTTTCTCCGATATAAAATCCCTCTTCTTTACTACCTTGGTTGCCTCGATCTCCAGGCAACAAAAGCAATACGCGAAGAGGCGCCGCGGGAATCAGCGCGCACGACCGGTCGCTGAATCCTGTCTGGTAGGTTTAGAACGACCTTCAGATTCCAAGGCTGTTCCTAGCGTACGAGCGCAGCTTAGGTCGACTACCATCTCGCTATGCTCGCCTGGTTCTTCTAAGCACGTAACTTAGAACAACTAACCTGTCTGATGAAGCGCGGATATTACCGCTGAATCTATTCCTATTGGTAATACGTTGCAGCATAGATATCAAAGAAAATACGATTTTTTAATAAAGATTTTACGTCTGCATTTCATTTTTGTGCACTGTAGACTGCAATCGAAATAAAAATCTGATAAAAATGTTGATATCTTTGGGGATGATGTCCGTGAAAGAAAAAAATAATTCAGAACATCGAATTTAAATAGGAAACATGCGAAATAATGTGTATAATATATTTTTCTTTGGATTTCCTCGATTTTTACAAATAAATCGTAACGGTATTTTTAGTGATATTAAATAAATTATTTAATAAAGTAACAAATTAAATGCCAATTAACTCTTAATCGCTTCATTTTATTAAACTAATAATTTTAAAATCTTTTTATTATTCAGGAACGTGAAATGAAATAAAAACTGCTTAAAAATTCGCTTAAATCTTTCAAGTCATCGAAAGAAAACAGAGAAAAGACAATTATTCTCTTGACACAATCTTCGTTGTGTCCCAGGCCGTTTCTTGTCATATATCTTTCAGGTTGTTTTTACGTTGCAACGTAGGTGTGGCCGGGGACGATAAACTCGGGTCTAACAAATCTTCTCCCTCCAACAAAAAAAAAAGGACGATCCTAGAGGCGAGGATTCCGAAATCGTGAGAAAAAAGTCTCGTAGCGCGATTTCGGCGTCGCGCTCTTCGCCGTTCTTCCTCATCGCTCACCGATACAAAAAATAATGAGATTTCGGAGGCACAACGGCGAGACTCTCGAGCGTGAGAAGATGCTGAACTTGGGGCTGAAATCGCCACTCCGTGCACCAGGCACGTATCAAAGTGCAGGAGCGACTCCTATCACGTGTCCTTTGGAAGGTTCTTCAACCTTCTAGCCGCGAAGGTCGCGTGCAGGGTGATTCGTTATTGGCGACGACGACTCCACGTGAGAAAATAACGTGGAAAAGAATGCAGAAGTCTTTTCACGTGAGATTTTCTCGAGAGAAAATCTACCTGGAAAGTTAATTATTCTCTCCTCTCTCATTTCTTCGAGCACGAATAATCTACAAGTAA